GGACCTTTCTGGGTGGTTCTGCATGTTCTCCTGTGTCTGTGGGTTCTCTCCGGGTTCTCCGGCTTCCTCCCACCCTCCAAAAACCTGCATGTTAGGCTGATTGGAGATTGGGGAAATTGCCCTTAGGAGTGAGTGTGAGTGGTTGTTGGTCCTTGTGTGTCTCTGTGTCCCTGCGATGGACTGGCAGACTGTCCAGGGTGTAACCCTGCCTCTTGCCCGTTGACCACTGGGATAGGCTCCGCCCCCCGACCCCATCAGGGAATAAGCGGTATTGATAATGGATGGATGGATAATGATAGCAGTTAGCATAGCAATAAGACTCTGCAGAGGGGACAACAGGAAACTCCCAACCACAGATCCAGAGCAAGGAATATCTGGAGAAAGTGTTAGGAGGAGAGAGAAGGGGGACGAGAAAGCACACGGCAACGGGGAAAGGAGAGAGTCCAGAACAAAGAAAAAAGCCCGGTAAAGTCTGTTTTTCTTACTTGTGGTGGGCCGCCGCCCTGCTGGACAGGACCACGCTGGTAAATATGGCAAAAGCCGAGCTGTGGACAGAGTGACCGGCCAGAGCAAAGCCCACCCACTCCGTTATCTCGCCCAGGAAGTTGGCCCCGGACACATATTCAAACATCCCACCTACCACACAGGAGGGGGGAAAAATCAAATTAGAACAGGTCTGCTTATCGTCTAATCGCAGTACAAATACAGTGGGGGAAATAAGTGTTTGAGCCCTTGCTGATTTTGCAGGTTTGCCCACTTACAAAGAATGCAACGATCTATAACATGTAGAAAATACATATATACATACATACATACGTACGTACGTACGTACGTACGTACGTACGTACGTACGTACATACATACATACATACATACATACATACATACATACATACATACATACATACATACATACATACATACATACATACATACATACATACATACATGCATACATACATACATGCATACATACATACATACATACATACATACATACATACATACATACATACATACATACATACATACATGCATGCATGCATACATGCGTACGTACGTACATACATACATACATACATACATACATACATACAT